TCAGATTGGTAATCTGATCTGTCAAATTGCACATCTCCTAGATAAATTTTGGTGTTTGGAGGGTAAGGAAGCACATATAGGATGGTTGAAGAATGAGTTGATGCAAACCAGGATCTCTGAGTTGTTAATTCTTTATAACTTCATATGTTTTTAACTTAGAGTTAATGTTGATGTTCAGTTTACAAACGTTTTAAGATGAGTTTTAATTAGAGTCTGAAGTGCTATGTATTAAAGTGAATTTAATTATCTTCCTTCATGAATTGGAACTCCCTATAGAGCACTTGTGCTGTCAGTATTTGTGTTAATCAAGCAATTTTTTCAATAAAACTTTCATCTTTTTGTTAATCTTGGAACAGTTTGAAAGATTTTTAAATTAAGACTCTTTCCTTTTTATTTGTTAACCCATTTACTACATTCCTATTCTTTTTATATTTAGAGGAAAAAAAGGTATTTTAGTCTATTGAATTTAGTCCTGAAGATGAGGCGATAATGTTTACCAGTTACTTAAAGTATTGTAGAGATTATAAATGACTTAAGGACACTTACTTGCTTAAGTAAATAAGTACTTTGGAAAGCATGAAAACTGAGAATTTTCATTGTCAGCAATAGGGAAAAAGTCATTTTATCGAAGTCTATTTTAATATTTGTGAAACTCGGGAAAACTTGCAGCTGTATGTCCAAAATTATAGAGAATATACTTTATTGATTTTGAAGATGGATAAAAATTGTTTATAGATAAAGGGATAGTTCTCAAGATCAGCTTTTTGCTCTATTTATGATGAACAGGAGTATGTCATGTTTAATAAATTTAAGATGTATATTATATTTGATTGCCATTGTTACAAGTTTTGCTCTGAACACAAAGAAAGAATAAATAGTTACCTAAGTACCTGTTTACCTCTTTAGATGCTGGTAGACCACTTGTTTTGCTAGTCTTCAGAATTGGAAGCAGTGTCAGATACACAGAAGTCAGAGTCATCTTGGCCAGATGGTGTTTGATACAGATGGATGGTTAGTTGTCATGCAGATCTCCTAGTTGGTAACTTGTTGCTGCCATCTGACTCAAAGAATCATTCACACACACTGGCTGTCAAAAGCATCTTCTCTTCTGTCTGTTTTAGCTGTCATGTCTGTGCTCTGTACAGAAGTGTTGACAAGACATTGCTGTTGTACATTTTCAATGTGGTTGTTAGTGATGTTAGTGATTTTTCTGTTTTGTGGTGTCTTTGATAGTGATGGAAAGTACTTGCCTTGTAATTGTATTTAAAAACTTTACTGTGCCAATGCAACAATTACCTGACCTTTTAAAAGAATTTACCAATATATACTTTTATTCAACTCTTTACATGAACAAAAAAAAAAAATTAACGAAAGAAAAATTTCTGTTCCAGTATTCCAGTTAGTTCAACCCTTAGCTAGTAATCTGAGTTCTGTTGGTTTCCCAGTTTGATATAATCTCCTGTCTGGATTTTCCTTCTCATAAACCTGTGATTAAAATCTTACACTATTTTCTGAGTGTATGTTATCTCTTCTCAAATTAGTACTTTTCTTTTTCTGATGGTATAAGCCTCATTTATTTAAAAAAAAAATCTTCAGGCACTGCTTATCTTCTGTTTCCTTGTATTTAATTTTCATTTGCCTTATTCACCTATTGACCTATGTCTCCATTTTTTGATTTACGATTCCCTGGTTAGAAATAGAAGCATGGCCTTCCATTCATTCCTTAAGGTTACTTCTGAAGACATCTATATCTGTGATAGTTCTTTAACAACCTAATTAGTGGATTTTATCCAACTAATATTTACAAAGCATCCGAACATGAGCCAGGTATACTCTGGAGGTATCAGAAGAAAATAGTCCCCTTTGAGAAGATAATTTAGAGAGAAATCAGATATAAGGACAATTAGACTATAATACTATAATCCTTATAATGTAAATATGTGGAAAGAACAGGGACCATTCTTATTCTGTTTCCCTTGTACTTGCAAAATGTCAATTTTTTTTTTAAAGATTTATTTATTTATGCAAACAGAACTGGGGTACAGGCCAGAGGTGCAGGGGTGGTGAGAGGCTTCACCACAGACAGAGTGGGGAGCAGAACAGGCAGATCATTGAAGTACACTGCTGAGAGGAGCAGCGGGCGGGTCAGGAGAGGTCTGCCACGCCATGTGGTCACCTCCTGGGCAGGCAGGGATTGAACTCATGCTGTAGTAGCTTTAGTTTCTTAGAGCTGTGCTTTAACCCACTGTGCCACCAGGGAGGGCCGCAAAATGTCAATTTTTAAATTGTTAAAGAATTTGCTTGAGCTTATAAAAAATTTCATTAAGTGGTTTAAGAATAGTTCAGAACTTCAACTTGAAGTAGTTACTAGACTATTGATTTTTTCCTGTTAATGAGTACATTCCAGAATTCTTCATGTATTGTAATTTGTTATATACAGACTGTACTATGTTTGATCGCTTGAGCAGATGTGTTAAAGTGCATTTTTATTTATTTTTTTTTAAAGATTTATTTATTCATTCATACAGAACTAGGGTACAGGCCAGAGATGCGGAGGGTGAGAGGATTCACCAGGAACAGAGTGGGGAGCAGAACAGGCAGATCAACCAAGTACACTGCTGAGGGGAGCAGCAGGCAGGTCAGGAGAGGTCTGCCTCGCCATGTGGATCTCCTATGGGGCAGGTGGGGATTGAACTTATGCGGAATTGGCTTAAGCTTTTTAGTGCAGTGCTTTAACCTGCTGTGTCACTTGGGAGGGCCCTAAAGTGCATTTTTAAACCAGAGACTAGAAGATAAAAATTACCGGATAGAGATTGAGTTGGTTCCAAAAGAAAATATTGATCATTTGGTTTTACATTAAATTGGAAAAAAGTAGTAGAGGATGAACTGAGTGTGAATAACTTTCATATTTATTCTGAGCCTATTTAACTTGCTAAGTTTTTGTACTGGTTGCTTAGTATCTGAATAGGAGAATATCACAAAATATGGTGAAATAGGTCATTAGTGGTTGATATTTATGAAAAGCTTTAAATTCTTTGCAGAAAGTTCTAAATACACAGAAATAGTTAAAGATGATACTAATAGCAATATTTTACTGATTTCTCCACCCTAGTGGTTCTGTGGAACCCAGGTGAATTTAGGGTATACATAATTTGCTATAGACCTGTGAATTACTATTTCAGTCATCCTACCTGTTCTTTCTAGGTACTTGTATGTAAACTTATGTAGGAATAAGAAATCTTGCCCTAGGAAGCCCCACCCTAGACTAGACTTTAGTTCTGAAGCTAATATGGTCTAGACCAACTCACAAACCTCATTCTTCTAGTAATATAATATTTACTTGGATTTTTTTTTACCTCCTCCCTTGTTTCTGATGGGGGGGTTCAGTGAGCATATACTGTATACCTCTTTTGTGTAAGTTATTTGTGGGAGGATGAAGTTATATAAAACTACCTTAGGACAACATGCCAAAACTACACACCGCTTGAATTACTTACTAGTTCTGTTCATTTTTCATGTTTGAAGCGTATTACTTGTAAAATTTCACCTTTCATTTGGGGAAATGTGATATTTTGCTTTATTTCTTAAGCTGATTTATTTTGGGAATGTACAACAGCTGTGCAACTTAGAAAGAACGTTAAGTTTATTGGTCTCTGAAAATAATAGTGCTTCACTAATTTTGAATTTTGGTTAAAAATCAATTGAAGGGGCACAGGTGGTGATCAATTCAAATGAAATAGTGTCTATTAAAGGACATCCCCAGATTATAGGGTCCCATTTCATATTTCAGGGAACTTAAAATGTAGTCATTTGTATAAATACTGCAGTCGTTTATATATTTTTCTCCAATGATAGAAATTGGTGAAAATTTTGGTGTTCTTTGAGTTTGGTTTTTTGGTGATTCATACTTTAAACATTTGTACTGATTAGATAATTGTAGTACAACATTTCAAATTTGCTTGAAGTTTTGTAACACTTGCATTCTCTAATGGAAACTCCTATCTTCTGTCATTGCATAATTCTCATACCATTTGCTAAAAAATAGCAATATGAATGGATAAGATACTTTGGTATTTATAATAGCCAGTAAAGAGCCATGATAATAATAGCCATGATAGTCTCTTGATTTGAAACTTAATCTTAGAAGACAAGTTTCTGATAAGCATAATTTTAAATTTTTACTCGACAACTTGATTTTCATAGTGCCTTAGTTACAAGAGTTTCCTTTGTGTTTTTGTAGTATAAAAGCAGATTGGAAGTGTGTTTATTTAAAAAAAAAAAAAATTAAATCTTTAACTTTTTTAATGAGTATTTTTATAGAATTAATGTAACATTTATTTTATCATTTGTGCTTGTTTTAGTTACCACTAATCATAAATTATAAGATACAATTTTTATCCTAACTGGAGTACTGAAAAAAAATCACATGTTGCACATACTGATATCTTAACTGAAATTTCATTAATTAAGAGGGTTTTTTTTAAAGGTTTATTTATTTGTTCATACAGAACTGGGGTACAGGCCAGAGGTGCAGGGGCGGTGAGAGGCTTCACCAGAGACAGAGTGGGGAGCAGAACAGGCAGATCGATGAAGTGCACTGCTAAGGGGAGCACCGCGCCATGTGGTCACCTCCGGGGCAGGCGTGGATCTAACTCATGCTGAAGTGGCTTTAGTTTTTTAGTGCAGTGCTTTAACCTGCTGCGCCACCAGGGAGGGCCGAGGATTTTTTTAATTTTATACTTTTAAGTGTTTTAAATCACTGATGTCTGTATATTATAAATCATTACTGGAGCAAAATTTTAGTTCACAAATAAATGCTCACATCTGGGAAATGGCATTTTGGGCAGCTCACATATATATATACACACACACACACACAACTATATATACATATAGTTATATATATATTTATATAGGTATATATATAATTATTAATGGACAGTAAATATATGTATATGTCTGTCAGTAAATAACAGGCTAACTAGTTTTTATGTCAACAGACTGAGAACTATGAGCAGAAAATACGTGAACAACAGGAACAGCTGTTACTTCAACAAACTATTATTGACAAGCTAAAATCACAGTTACTTCTTGTGAATTCCAGTCGAGGTGTGTACATGTTAATCTTTTATGTGTTTTTTGTAAATGTCTTAAACTTCTTGGAGAAAAGAAAGGTGCTTCAAGTCATGCTTTTCTGTTTTTCCATTGTTTCTTAATATTTATGATATTGTCATAATTGTGGTGCTGTTACATATTGTGCTTTTTTTTAAGGAAATTTTTTTTTTAAGAAATAGACATTTTTTTAAATTTATTTATGAATACAAAAACTGTTTATGACCTTAGGTGCATATTGGAGGCTGGGGAAGGATTCACCAGGGACAGAATGGGGAGCAGAATAGGTAGATTTACTGAAATACGTCCTAAAGGGGAGCAGTGGGCGAAGCAGGAGAGAGGCCTGCTGTGCCTTGTAGGTTAGCTCCCTGGCCAGTATTCAACTCAGTTGCTGATGATAACTTGATAGTGCTGAAACTTTAATCCCTTCACCACCAGAGAGGCCTCCTAAGGAAATAAACTTTTGCAAGACATGGGAAGATGGCCATTTGCATATACATCTGATGAACACTAAGTTGATAAAACATCTTAGGATACAATTTGGTAAAAAATAGCAAAAGCTTTTTAAAATTTCCGTCTTTTAAACCAAAAATGGAATTACTGAAAGAGCTTTAAAAATAGTTAATCAAGAACTCAAAAATAAGTGTATGCAAACATGTTCATCACAGTACAATTTCTAAAAATAAAAATCTAAAGAAATGTCTCATTTAATTGTAGTTATCCATGTAATGAACAGCTGTGTGGCCAAAAAAAGTAATAAATTATTTGATTGTTTTTTTTTACTGTATTTATTGAGGTAATGTTGGTTAATAATTCTGTATAGTTCAGGAGAATAGGTTCACATCCCTCTAGATATATTTACCACACCTTACCACCAACACACCTTGTAGCATATGGCAAAGTGAGCAACGCAGGATACAGGGGTCTTCCCTGGTGGTTCAATGAATTAAGCGCAGCACTGTGAGGCTATCCACAGCCACTGCAGCACAAGTTCAATCTCCAGCCAGGGAGGTAACCCACGTGGTGTGGCAGACCTCTCCTGTCTTGCCTGCCGCTCCCCTCAGCAGTGTTTTTCAGTACATCTGCCTGGTCTGCTCCCCACTCTGTCTCTGGGGAATCTTCTCACCACCCCTGCATATCTGGCCTATACCGCAGTTCTATATGCATAAATAAATTTTAAAATCCTTAAAAAGCAGGATATAAAAATCAGTTTTAATGTAAAAAAGATTATTCTTGGGCCCTCCCTGGTGGCGCAGCGGGTTAAAGCACGACACCGAGAAGCTAAAGCCACTTCCCCAAGAGTTCGATCCCCGCCTGCCCTGGAGGTGATTCCACATGGCACAGCAGACCTCTCCTGACCCTCCCGCTGCTCCCTCAGCAGTGTACTTCGTTGATCTGCCTATTCTGCTCCCCACTCTGTGTCTGGTGAATCCTCTCACCGCCCCTGCACCTCTGGCCTGTACCCCAGCTCTGTATGCATAAATAAATAAATCTTAAAAAAAAAAAAAGATTATTCTTGTGTGAATTGGGATATTTTATCTTTAATTTTTCAGTTTTTCTGGCATGTCTGCATTTTCTACAATAAGCATGAAATCATTATATAAATAATTATTTTAAACAAATGTACACCTAAAATACAACTTGTATGAAATTTAATCACTTATGCTGACGATAGAATACAAAAGCATGCTTTTAGTTTCTACATACAACTGATTTTGGGAAAATAGGAGTTTTGTGTATTGGGATTAAAAAAAATTTAAATGGGTACATCTGTATTGTCAAAGTAACTTTATTGTTTTTTAATGCATAGTTTAAAATCTTTCTTTTTAAAATTAGCATTTATCTGTATTGTATTTACTTTTCCTACTCATGTACAGGAGGTTTTTGTCTTACAGATAACAGTTATGGCTGTGTCCCCCTCTTTGAAGACAATGAAGCAAGGAAGATTAATATCACTCTTGATCAGCCAAATGACAATGTGAAATTGGGAATACCAAGAGAAAAAGAATCTAAGGTAGTATACTACTAGTTCTTTTTCATAAAAAAATATAGAAATAGGTCCAACAGACTTCTGAATTAGTATTCTAGCACATTTTGGGTGGGCAGAAGTGTGAGAGAAAGTAGACAGAATTCTTTCAACCTTGACATTGCTTCTGTAAAACACAACATTCAAATGCTGATACACAACACATCTTCCTTATTTTCTTGAAGTGGATCCACCACTGTGATTTTAAACAGAAATTATATATATACAAATGACTTGCATGTTCCTAAACAGAAGTAGTGTTTCTAAGCAAAAATAAGAGTTTATGTTGCATAGTCTCTACTATTCTCTTTTTCTATATCACATGACACTTAACAAAGAAATAAAAGGTTATATACTAAGTTATATAGTAAAGCACAGATAATTTTGTTAGAAAATGGAATTTTTTTTGTTTGTGGTTAATTTGAAAAAATAAATAAACCCACCCCAGTCCAGCAAGAGCCTTCCTTGAAGCAGTGTGGAAAAGAATATTCCATATCTACAGGGAGTCATATGCTAGCACATTAATATTATGTTGGTTAGAAATTAACTAAATATCTGTCATTAACAGAATAGTACATACATCCTTACAATTAAACACTTCAGAAAAATAAAAATAAATTAAAAATTTACATTTACCTTAATATGCTTAGATTTCAAAGGTTATTTTGAATTAAAAATGAAAATTATAAAAGGTTAAATTTAAAAATATTCAAACATGACATGTTTGTAAAAATACAAATATTTAATAAAATATGTAATAAAAGTGTAAAAACATGGACAGAAGTTACATATCTACATTAGAAAATCATTACCTCCACAGTTGGGGAAAGAAGGTACTATAATTCTGATAAGAAACCAAAAAGGATTTTCAGGGTAGCTGTAACCTTTTTTTTTTTTTTAAGAAAGCAAATATGCCAAAATGTTAATACTTGTTAAATTAAGGTAATAGATATTTGTGTATTTTATTCACCATATTTTTCTAAATCTTTAAAATTTCATGAGTTTAAAGGGAATTTTTAATGAATTGAGTTTTCATGGGATGAAACATCTTTTGAACAAAATAAGCTACAACCAGTAAGTACTTTTAACATCCAAAACACTAATTAAGTCAAGATTGCTATATTTACTTCTTTACTTTTAAATAAGGAAGGTAGGTTTTAGCTTCATGTATCAGGTCTTTTCAGTCACTGATCTTATAACTAAGACTCTTTACTTACTATTTAAGATCAAATCTGAGAAACCCAGTTTTGGTATTGTGCTAAAAGAACAATTTTAGAATGAGAAATTACCTATTGTATCTCACAATTCATATTTCTTGTTCAAAGTCATTTTAAAAATTTTTAACCAAAAAATACTGATAAACACAAGACCTGGCACTGGAATATGTTCATGTTTGTATTGCAAAAGCAAAATTTAGAAACAATGATCCTTACTTTTGGAATGTAAATTTTATGATTGAGTCTGTTATGGTACATTATAAAATCATTAAACTACTCCATAAAATGCTGGTGTGCAAACTTAGCCTTTAAGTAAACAATGTTTGTAGAACATTTTCCTCTTTCAAGGACTTCTAACCTTTTAATCAAAATTCATATACTTATTCCAGCTATGTTTCTTGAAACATAATTAGGAATCACCAACTCAAAAAGTAGAAAATAAAAACCTTGGTTGCAGCAAAAGAAATTATGTTACTTACTTCTTTACTTTTAAATAAGTAAGTAAAAATTAGTAACATAATAATTAAAAATTAAATCTTATTCTTCCCCAATGGTATATATTTATTTCTCTGTATTTATTGTTGCTGTAATTAAATTTACATTAATTAATATGACTAAAATCCTTTCCTTAGTTATGAAGTTTGAGTGGTTAGGGTATTTTAGAATTTTGTAAATTTTGTAATTTTGTAGAAATTAGTAACATAATAATTTAATAATTTTAAATTTGGGTAATTTGTCATTGTTTATGAAGCTTTAGAGTTTATTTTCCAGTCAGGTATTTACTATCAAAGGATTCTTTTTTAAGTTACATTTTATAAGACAAAATCTTTCATCTTAAAATACATATTTAAATACTTGGGCTGAAATTAAGTGTAAGTAACAGAAATCATGTCAGAGCTTATTTCCAAATAATTGATAATGATATTACAACACTTGAAACTTTTTGAATATACAATAAGAACAAAAAGGTATAAAGCACCAAAATCAGAAAGAAAACTGAATTCAATGAGTTCTCATAATAGAGTAATGATTTATGTGACAGTGACATATTTAATACTACAAAGAACTTAACTACTTCTCTCATTCTGTAACCATTTAATAAAAAAAAAACTTGCATTCCAGTTTTCTTAATCTTCCTATATAAATCTAGGACCAAAATGCTAATTAGCACTAAGATCTCAAGGTATTAAAGAAAGAATATATTGTAAAGAAATGGATAAATTAGATGTATTGAATATTTTGGAGTTAGTTAAATATTTATTGTAAAAAATATTAACAACAACAATAATGGCCTAATTTAGAAAAACACTGGCCAGTCAAGTGATTGAAATAAAAATCTTGGCCCTCCCTAACCCCGGTGCAATGGGTTGGGGACAGCACTGCAAGCTAGCCACAGCTGCTTCAGTATGAGTTCAATCCCCACCCTGGAGGTGACACACATGGCCTGGCTGACCTCTCCTGTCTCGCCCAGTGCTCCCCTCAGCAGTGTATTTAGTCAATCTGCCTGTTCTACTCCCCCCCCCTCTGTTTCTGGGGTATCCTCTCACTGCCCCTGCAGCTCTGGTCTACACCCCAATCTTTATTCATAAATAAATAAATCTTAGAAAAAAAAATTAAAATCTTCCCCAATGATATATATTTATTTCTCTGTATTTATTGTTGCTGTAATTAAATTTACATTTAATTAATATGAGTAAAATCCTTTCCTTAGTTATGAAGTTTGAGTGGTTAGGGTATTTTAGAATTTTGGCTGGCTCCAATTTTATAAAAGTGTTTATACACAAACAAGATTTAGAAGGCAGTATGCAAGAAAGGCTAAGATTTTTCTATTTTCAACATACTCAGTAGTCTTAAAAACTCTAGACTGTACATTCCTATTTGGCCTCTGTAATAAATTAGAATAATCTCAAGACTGTACATTCCTATTTGGCCTCTGTAATAAATTAGTAAGTTGATAAAGATTAGTAAGTTGATAAAGATGCTTTGAAGCAGTAATAGAAGGAAAGACCCACAGGTCTTTCCTTCTGTTTGGTGGTTAGTTTGAGGATTTATTTTTTTTAGATTATTTTGGTTAAGATATTTGAAACTGGAAAGATACTTGGATGTTACGATAAATGACAGCTTTGGGACATACAGTGGAAGAAAGAAGGATATGTTGAGAAGGAATTACCTTTAAAAAACTTATTTGAGAATGTGAAATTTATAGATCAGGCTCTGTCCATACTAATATTAGTACACACACACACACACACACACACACACACACATACACACACCAAGAATTATTTGCACCAAAGTCAAGACAATATGGCCTGTGTCACTGGATGACCCTTATCATTCCACTTAAGTTTTAAAGAGCTATTAGAAGTGTTCAGCTTAATGGAAAACCTGCATTTCACCTCTTCTATAGTAGATTGTACAGTTTGTTTTGATGAGCCATGATTTTGGAAAAGATCATTGTATTATTTATCATATAACAAATTACCCCATTATTGCCCCAAAACTTGACTGCTTAAAACATGAAATACTTATCTTAGTTTCTGTGCATTAGAAAACCAGGATAAAAGGGGTTCAGTGGTTTTGGAGCAGAATTTCATGTGATTAAAGTCAGGATATGAGCAAGGGCTTCAGTTTTAAAAAGACTTAGCTATGGCTGAAGGTCTACTTCTAGGATGATTCAGTCACATGACAATTGGTTTGAGACTTCTCTGCAAGGACCTCTCTTCACATACTGACATCTAACTTTCTCAAACTAAGAATATAAGAGATAGCCAAGAGAAAGCAAAGGGAAAGTCAGTGTTTTCTGTGACCTGAACTTACTTCCTCTTTAAATTAACTAGTTTAGCAAGTAGTTGCTACATTACTTCAGAGATAAGAAGATAAGTTCTTCCTCTTGAAAGGAAACCCATCAAAGATATTGTAGCATCACAAGCATTGTAGACTGTGGTGTAACAAAGAGGCTACCAATGGTTAGGGTTTGGGAAGGTTTATTTAACTCACCCTTTGGTAAATATTAGTGAATGGTAAAATATTAATAATTAATTCAGTTTCATAAATCCCATCATTCATCTCACTGGAAAGCTGAGCAGTACTAAGAGAACCAAAAAGTTATTGCATGTTACTGCTAATTCTTTTACCTATAACCAATTTTAAAAATAGAAAATATTTGTTACAAGAAATGAAATAACAAAAATGTACACACTTTTGATAAAGATTATTCCTCATTATAGGACACCTTTATCAAATGTAGTAATACATGTCGTGTCATAACATCAGTTATTTAAATAACAAATGTGTTCTATATAACCATAAGTAGATATTGTTTAAGTCACTTTTTTTTTAAGTAGCTTTATAATTTGGCAGTTGTTTTTATGATCTTGGAAGTAGGAGGTATTTATTATACTTCTAGAGTGCATTTTCATCTGCCAAACTAAATACTTCCTTGTTATTTAGAGTATCTTAGAGTTTGAAAAAATTGTTTGTCCTGATCTTTAAATCCCACTTTTTAATGTAGTGGAAGTTATACAAAAGTTTATAGAGTATTTAGATATAAAAAAAAAAGTTATAAAGAGCAATAATATAGAAAATATAAAAGAATTTGGTGATGGTAAATTTCCTTCATTCATTTAGTAATTGTCAACTGCTATGTACCTGATACTGCAAGCAACCAGAAGAACTGAGAGATTGTACTTGTCTGAGGCTTGATTTAATAACCAAATTAGACATTATTGAAAGTTGAAAAGTTATTTCAGATTCTAGGATCCACAATAT